CGTTCTTTGAAGTTCATCCCCTAACAAGTAGGACACTTCAACAGTCCACCTCATCCTCCACCTCCCAACTAGGAGCCCCCAGCATAGTCGGATCCCTGCAGATTACTACGGACATACTATAGAGCATAACACCAAAGGCGGATACTTTTGAGCCTGCTAAATTCACATCCTTTTCTCAATTGTATATGATGCTTTTGAGAGGAGCTCAAGAAAGGCTCCAAGAGTTCTCCTCACATTGCAGATCACTCAGACAAGTTGCTTTAAGGTGTCCCTTCGTCTCCTTTCCATAACTACAGCTAAATGCACACAGGTAAGTCCCAGCAGCTGTTACCAGCTTCAGGTTTGGGGACATTTAAATTATAGCATGGTTAAACTTAGTTTTGTTTTTCCAAGTTTTTAGAAGAGGAAATGTAGCTGAAGCAGGGAAGGGCATAAAATATGTCAAGGTAACGCTGGCATTAATGTTTTGTTACCAGTGGAACTGACTTCAGTATGTACTGCAAAGTAAATATATCTCTGTGGGACAGATCTTTTTGGTTTGTAAACCACGAAGTTTATCTAGCCTGTAGTCTTAATTCCTATTTGCACACTAGTCACAGAAACTCTGACTGAATTCCAGGTTTTGCGCCCAATTGGCGAGACTACTACGTAGGAAAACACTTTTACTTAAAGGTGAGCAAATTTAGTGAAGGGATCACCAAGAAACACAGAACTATACTACACCATTCATTTTCCCAGTGCAATGGCACTTCTGGTATGGAAATATAGAATGCTAAACCAATTATCAGTATGGAAATGCAAAATGCTAAAGCAATTACCATTTTTAGACATGGTCAATGTCTTAAGCTTCCCATCAACTTCAATGGGACCAAGGTTTAACCCGTTTTTATATTTACAGATGTATTTTCAAAACACAAGTAGGAAAAGATATTAAGGGAGAGGAGTTTGAAGGCAGATCAACTCCTCGCATTTTTCTCATCGTTTTCCTCCAGTTGCTTTCTCTCAAAAGTCTGACCTTATTTCTCTTAATTTTTTTCCAGAATGATTTTTAAGAAATTTATCACAAAAATATTTAAATACCAATGAGCAATTGATTATTATTTTTTTAGTCTCGTTTGATTGACAGCTGTCCTTTTTTTCCCCATGTGGCTTTTTTGTTTATTCCCCCTCCCTCTCCTCCTACAGCTTACAGGTTAATTCCTCTTTTCCTCCATGTCACCTGCTAATCTTCTCTGTTCTGCTTTCACTCACAGTCTTCTTCCTTTCATCATCTTATTCCTGTCCTCTCTGACCTATCTTAGAAACAAACTTCTATTTTATCTGTTCATAACATCCAAAAGTTGTTCTATTCCCCACCCTACATTGTTTGTGGTGAATGTTGAAATTCTGTAGTTGAATGTTAAGAGACATCTGCTTCCTGGTGATGGAACTGAATTGCTGCATCAGCTCAGAATTAATCTAGATTTGCACAGGTTTAAATAGCTCACTTAATCCCAACAGTCTTTTGGAAGTCCAGGCAGTACACTCAGCCAGATGTGAAATTGCAATGTCTTTGCGGGCAGGCAGGCAATCAAAACCAGGAAGCCCTGGCCCAGATGGATCCTGAAAAGTAGGACAGTTCCTGTTTAAATGAACTAAATCTATATGCCACTGTCTACAACACATTCCATTCATATTTTGGGCCTTAGAATATTTGAAAGTGTGTTGAAGTACTACCTCATTTCATTTTGGCTCTTAAAACAAAAATCACTTCAGCAGCAACTGATTTTTAAAATGTAGAGTTAGGCAGGCCCAAGGCCAAACAAACCATGTTCATCTTCAGGGTACCACTGTTGATAAGAAGGGGGGGGGGGGAAATCAACAATTACATGATGAAAGTTCTCACATATAATTTAAACCAGAAGAGAACTAAAAGGATTGGATTCCTCTCTAACATTGCTGAGTTGTTCTTCAAACCATATTGAATTTGGGAAGTAAAAGATAAACAGAAGCTCAATTTCATTAGTTCTGCAGAGATACTCCTTTGTTTAGTATTTCAGCAATAATTTACTTACTGTGAACTATTGTACTCGCTGTACAGATTTAAACAAATACAAAATCTGCAGTACCACAAGTTGGTCATCTCCCTTGTAACACATGCTGCTAACCTATAGGTCTTTGGGTTTATGAGATCAGTTTGCTTCTTCTAGGATCATTCACTAGGATCAAATGCAAAACAGCTAATCTTCTGTCTATAAGATTATCTTTAATGAATGCATTAACCAGTTTATGCAGAAATACATCTACCTGTAACATCAGTTAACATGAGCAGATGAAAAGTGGATCAAGGATGCACTATAATGCGAAAATACAACAATATTTTGACATTTATTACATTACTGTTTAACCAATAGGAATATAAAACTCCCTTTTAAAATAGAAATGCCTTTGAGAAATCACAAGAATAAAGAACCTTTAAAAACATTTTATGAAGTACTATATTTCATGCTACATGGAATATTATAGAGAGACCTAGAAGGGAAAAATGTTATTTAAAAAAACAAAGCAGAATAAATATTTTTTAATCAGATAAACTAACCAGGTTTTACACATTTGAAGATATTAGATATTTAAGAAAAAATAAATATTTACTTTTCTGAAAATATCAACTTTCACTTTGGTTCTACATTTATAAATCAGATGAACATGGAAAGAACTATTTGATATTAGTCTGCTAATTGTCAAAGAAAAAAATAGAAAAAACTCTGTGCAGTATTCACTAGGATTATAATTTTGGATCCCTAGTGTGCATGTTTTGTAATCATAGTTCAATCAAACTAAAAAAAAAAGTAAAATCCGTAGACTAGGTGATGAATAGTTAGTTTGCTGACTCATTCCAGATGGATATCCAAGTTCCAACGTAGGGAGCGCCCACGACTGAAGACAGCTGTGATGGAGGTGAGAGGAATGGACCAGAAACCCTTCTAGAGGCATCTCTTCGATCAACCTGCCACTAAATCACTGCCTGCTGTCAGTTAAAGCCTGCAAGTACCACACCATATGGGTTAATAGACTTCGTTCCGAAATATGCCAGCAGATGTCCTCACAAGGCAGTCGTGTCAGGGTGGTTAGAGGTGTCACCATTTCAAAAGACAGATGGGAAGGAAAACACACTTAAAATAAGGGTGATATAAATATATAGATAAACAAATCCAAAGTATTCCATTTATTCTCAAATGCCAAACTTCAAAACATAGGCAGGATGTTAAAAAAAAAAGGCTGTCATCTTAAAAACTAAAAGAAAAAAGTCACCTGAACAAGTAAATAACTAGCACATCTGTTTCCAATTTGTTAGGTAGTTCTTACACCTCACTCATAAACAAAAGGTTCAAAAACTGATGGTGAAAAGCATCAACACAAGGAAAACAGCATAAAGACTCTAATCCTGTCCTTCTCCCTTCTGTTACATGTTAAAACTGACACTAATTTTATTGTGTGCAGAGAGCTGAAGAGCAGCTTTCTGTACTACTCCCTAGTGGCAATGACATACAAATGTTGTCACGAAGTCAGTATTCTTGGAAGCGTAAAATCCCTCAGGTATTTCAGGGAGACTTAAAGAGAACAATTTCCTTAAAATAGTGATCCTCATCATTACTGCTACAAGTGGAAAGTTTTGATACGGCATTAAAAATATTTGACTTGTCCTATGTAGTGAGTAATGCACCCACAGTTAACTACCCCCAGGCACCTATGAGATAACGATTCGGTCAAGACTGGTCTACATACTCAAAGCCGGGATTCTTTACCCAGGTCTATGAGACCAATATCTCCAGCCCTCAATCCGTTACCTGCTTTAATGCAGATGTTCATGGCTTCATACATGAGAAGCTGCATCAGGGAAAGATGAAATCAAGATGAGCATCACTGACTCTTCTTCAAGAACAGACACAGAAAGAAGTGCTGATACTTGGGGTTTATTGGGAGACCGGCCAACTGGTACATGTCAGTCACTACGGTCTGGCTGGTGGAAAGAACTCGAGACAGTCCCAGCTTCAGGAAAATGCTGGGAGGGTGGCTCCAATAGCTGGGAGAGACTTGCCCACCAGAGGTTGGCAGGCCTGTTACAGCAGTTACAGACAGAAAGCATTGCTCTGTTCTACACGCTAAATTAGGTCAAAGCTAACATCATCTATTATAGGAACAGATTGCTTATGAAATCTTAGAGTAGGGGTTTTGTCGGTATCTTGTCTGATGCTTCAGTAGCATGGGTGACTGATTTTCTGCAGGCTGATTGTTCTCAACTTCAACAATGGAAGTAAAAACAAGCAGATTTTTAGCTTGGTGTCAGTGAATGATCATGGTGAACGATACAGAACTGTGACATTTCTTAACTGGTGGACACTTTCATGCCACAGAAGCATCAGATAAAGCACATTCTGCACTTAGCTTGTCCTGAAAAAAGAAGAATCCAGATTCCACATCCTGAAAAGCATGGTAAATACAATATTTAAGCTTTCTCAGCTTAACTAAGGTTCTCTTCAGCTATCATGAAAAACAATTATAAAAATCTCCTTAACGTTTTCATTGTGCTTTACTTAAAAACAAACAAAAAGTACAGAAGAATTCTATGAAATCAATATTTTCATTTAAAATATTAAAGGACAAACACAAAGGAAGGATGATGGCTGGGGACAGCTACAGTATATTAACCATGTAAGATGACTTCACTAATCTGTCTTTGTCTTGAATCTTAAGCCCCTTGCCCTTTAGCCATGTGATAAGGAATACAGAATTACAGTTCAAGCAGAGGCTAACTCTACTGTTTCCAAATAAAGATTTCTTATGGGAACAAATACACATCTCAAACAAAACCATAAAAGATGGTGAAGCAATCCTAATTGTAACCAGCTCTTCCTCCATAGCTCTGGTTTCATTATGTAAATATATTCCAGTCAAATCTTTACAAACTATGTCAACAAATCATGATTTCCCTCTCTTTCCCCAGGAAAACTTTGCAAGGATAACTGTACACATGTCCAAGAAATAGAGGATGTCATTTTATTGGAGGTCCACAGGTAATTGTATCACATTAGGGAGTGGAAGAATCTCGTGGTATGGCACAACACAATACCTCACTCTAAACACTTAAACAGAAGGTTAAATGATATGCAACATGATAAAATCAGTATTTCTCCATCTTCTAGGCACCACTGATTAATTTAAAATAAACTTTAATAAACTGAAAAAATAATATAGTCCATTAATTTGTTCGTTGCACTGTCTTTAAATGAAACAGCACTTTGAAAGTCACAAATAAAAAAGCAGCACTTCCTCTTAATACCAACACCACTGTAACACATACTGTAGCGTGGCATGCAAATCCATATCTGCAGTCTTTTTTTTTTTTTTTTTTGGATTAACAAATGGAATGGTAATTTTCTATCTCAAATATTAGTAGCATAACATGTAAGTGCAGATCATTCTGGCCACAAGTGTGGTAAGCCTTAACAAGTGTGTATTACAAGAGCATAGAACACAGAGCGTGACACTTACACATCCAAGAATCTCTCTTTTGTACTGTACATGGTGTTTGTTACAGGCTGACTTCCAACTTGCTGTACCCAAGCTTCAGGAAACAAGATTATTGACCATTTCTGGTTTTGCTTAAAAGGAAAATACAGTCACCATCAAAGCACAACCATAAACAACCTGGTCAAAAAAATGCCATAGCTCCATTGAAAAAATAATTTGTCTTTTTAGTAGACTCCATTACGCGATAAAGTTTCCATTATAGGCATGTTACGAAGTCTTAGAGTGGTACTGCAGTGTCATTCCTGTTAAGTAGAGATTTGTATAGTCACCAAGAAACGGTGCAATGTTCAAAAAAGCTGTTCAAACTGAGCTAAGCTTCACAAGACCACGTACTGAGTCTTCATGCAATGAATCCTGGCTGGCTAGACTCAGGACATGCATCGTATGGCTGTGTGTAATAGGACTTCCACTTGGCAGCATCCCAGGGGGTGACGGAGCTTCTTCGGGAGTGAGAAACTGATGACCTTCGTGTTCCTCTTCTAATGGTATCATGTCTGTCAAACCTGTATCTGATGTGAGATTTGGCATAGAAGATGGTGGTGTTGGTTGCCCTAGAGTTAGAGTTGCACAAGGCCCGCTGATAGTAGTCTTTCCTGGCAAAGGTAGCTCTTCACTAGTTATGCTTGGCTCACTCTGTAGTAGGGGGGTGGCAGCAGCCTGCAAAACGAATTTAGTGCTCTGAATGCACTGATCTTGGTCACACTGCAGAATGGAAGGGTGTCAAAATCATATAAGGCAAACAAAACAGAGAAAAAAGGGAGAATATGAACAAAAAGGTATGGAAAATAATGGGATGTGAAGAGAAAAAAGAAAGCCATTAGTATCATTCCACAGTTAGCCACCCAAAAATCCCATTGCATGCTGCCTGGGGAGGGGGGAGGGAAGAAGAAAAAAGTATGCATAACTGAGCCAGTGCTTTGGATTACTATCAAAGTAAATTAAGATCAACATTTACAGTGTTCACTTAAGGGTATTGGTAACCTCTAAAATAGTCTTTTGTGAGTACTGTAATTCAAATACTTTGCTTACTCTTGTTCAAAGCCATTCGGAAAGCCCAGCCGCACAGGCTGTGTGTAACTAACTGCACTGGGCACCTCAAAACCTCCCTGATTCCAGGTGAGGTGAATCATTTCCACACTACTCATTTTACCCTAGAGTAGCTAGCAGTTCAGAGAGAGGCCCCAAAGGCATAACCCAAGCATCTTTCCAAGTTCAAAAACACTAGGCAAGTGTCTTTTTTTAATTGATCCTCACAAGTAATAATTAACATGCTACAGAAGTTTTCCAGAACAAGAATTCCTTTAATGCAGGTGGGTTTAAAGATATAGCTGGCAATACAGCCTCTATGAGCAAAAGTTTCTTCTCCTCCCAATTTAATTTATTATATATACACTCTAGAGTGTGTATATATATACTATGCTATACTCAATACTCTAGAGGATGTGTAGAAATTAGGCAGCACTGCAGATGCATTTATTTGATATCAACTTTCATGATTTTTAGGTTGTTTCTTGATTAATTTAATCTTGACAATGCGAAGAATCAAGGTACAAACCACAAGTTTTCTGGCAAGCACTTTCACAATAACAAACCAAATTCAGCATTACATAAACCCAGTAAAGCTCAATGAGTATTACCAGGAACGCTTTTGGCTCTACAGCATTCCTAAGAACTGTTTATACAAAATTATCATTCATTCCTTGAGATGACAAGACAAATAGGTGTTTCAATACTGTCCAGCTAGCTAAGTGGGTAGTATACCTGCTGCCAAATTAAGTTTCTTTAAGACAAACTGGCATGATTTTTGAGAGCTTCCAAGGAGAATATGTATCAGTTATATCAGCCTGATCAGTTATAACATCTGCAGATTTTGAAAATCCTGTCAGATTCATTTGCCATACTACTATTCTGCTGTGCAAGGGAAACACTACAGTCAATACAACTATAAATCCAATGCAGCAAAGAAAATTTGGAAGCAAGCAAGCAGAATAGGAAAATATATCCAGAGGTAAGACATGCCTATTTGCTGTTATTTCAAGGATTCTGTTAAAGCATTATGTTCTACTTTAGGACTGACTTCTTCAATCTATATCAAATTACTGAAAGACATTAGAAATCCAACATCTGTTCAAGATATTCCCAATCATATCCATTGCTACTAACATCACAGCAATTCCCTAAAATGCCCATTCGAGTTTAATAAGCCACTGTGATATACTCCATGTAAACTCATGGAAAGACTTTTGCTTCCTTTACTGTATGAAGAAAGTCATCACTATGAATGCTTCCTCTGATATTTTCAGGTCATCCAATTCCACCACTGAATGGGTTAATGATGGATGCACACACATTACATTCAGAAAGCGTGCAAGCAGATTACTTGGTCACAGTAGATAGACAGTATTTTAAACATGTCTAAGTGGTTTAGAACTCCCACACCAACTACTTTTTGACAGGCATAAGTCTGATCCTTACTCAGTTATGTATTTTTCAACACTTAAGCTTTCAGAAAGATAAATGCACTGACTTCCTGTTACATAAATTGAGTATGTCGCAAGCAATTTCCCCCACTGCCCCCCAAATGAACAGCCCTAGCCAAACGATTGAAGCGGTCCCATATCATTTCAGAGGGATTACTCATAGGCTTAAAGCCAAAACCTTGCATAAGTACCTTACTAAGAAGAAAACCGTCAGCATCTTTTAAAGTCAAGCTTTCAGTTAGTAATTCAGTGTGAACAATTCAGTCTTGATTAATATACTGTTATTCATGCCTGCTTATTTCAATTAAACTATAGCCCTTCAACCAACCTTACTATGCAGACCTTAAAAATCTGTTAACTGAATTTTCAAAGTTCAAAAAGACCAACAGAATCCATCTTCTCTGAAAAGCATTAACCAAAGAGTATGTTAAATAACAAAGGTATGCCTATAACCACTAGGGTACATCATTGAAATAAATAATGTTAGCAGCTGACTTACTACTTTAGTGAAGCTTCAGCACTGATCTTCAAAAGGAAATCCTTAATGCGTTCCAAGAAATACAAGTGCACAGTTTTAAATTAGCTGAAGGTAATTTACTTGAACACATTGTATAGTCTGAATTCATTTTCTTCTTACTGAACTCTAGTGCATTTCAACTGAATCAATATTGAAAAGATAAAGTAGCCTCATAAAGCTCCCTTAAACAGAGTGTCATAAAACTTTTTCAGGTGCTGTATATCTCTTCTTCATTTTCCATGCACTTGTCACTTCCCTAAAGCCTCTCCTCTTATTCAGATACATTTCAAGTTTTCTTTTTTTTTTTCCCCTCCCTATTTAACGGTGACCAGTGCAGGCTGTAAATAGCTTTCAAAAGTGTCTAGAGTGGGGTATATACTAGAAAAGGTAGACGTGTTCAATGAAGCTCTCAAAAACATCTGATAAAAACAACACATACTATACAGGTAGAATATTCTTGAGTCTAAACAGCCAACACTAAACAAGGAAATCAGATTTGTTTATAGGCCTGGCATGGTGGTTTTTCCTCAATTCCATATTTTATTCTTAACTAAATGAAATTTAGGGCCACAAGTCTTAACAGCTATTAATCACATGAACTATTAAATGCCAGCATTTCACATTAAATAAAAAAGCATATGATTGTAACAAAAAGGAAGCCAAGCACTGAAATCTGAATAGCTAAAAATCTACTGTAGAAATTATTCCACCAGTACTTCTTAGTTCAGATCTACTGATTTTATTTTCCACTTAACATTTCCACTGTTTCAGAGGAACAGCAGATTCTGAAGGTAAGACAAGTTTAATACGTTCTACAAGTACAGAAGTTTAATTATATATGTGCACAGAAATTTTTAGCCATCTCTGTATTTATTTTCACATCAAAAGGCATAAATTAAAGCAAATTAGACAAAACCTAAAATTCTGTGGTTATTTTACAAATAATAAATACAAGCAACTAAGGAAACAATATTTTTAATTTTATTTCCTGAAGAAAATCTGATTTTTTCTAAGCTACACAAAACATACATGTTAACATAGTTGTTGTACATAGCAATATATTTTTCACATTTCTAATGCCAAAGCCAGAGATCATATACTTTGAATTTAAAATTAACTTTGTTAAAAATTTTCTAAACACTAGCAACATTAAAGAATTGTTACAGTTCTCAGAAGATGGAGAAAAGAAGCCTGGATTATCTCAGCATCTCTGAATAAAGTACAAAACCCAAAAGGTTCAGAGGAGACTGACAGCACTGAATGACAGTGCTATGAAGTAACAGAAAGGATGCTGAAATACCATAATAGATGGATACAATAGATGGGTAAAGAGTGGAGGGATGGAACTGTATCCAACAGCTGTAGGATTTCACACTCAGAATCATGGTATTGCAGATACTGTTCAACAACCAAGCCACAAAACCCACCAAGTCAATGGCTCCACTAGCAAGTAGTACAGTGCACCAGGAGTAGATCTATGAAGAGAAAAGCTTCTGAAGCCAAAGGGTAAACTATACCTGTGCCAGGGATTTTACTTCAGACTAGCTACTGTTTATTCTTATGGACTGCATGTCCGTGAAGGGTTACAGCACGTTTGGGAAACACATCTTCTGAAAGAAATCTAGTTCATGCGCTCTGATATTGCTCTGCGATGTGAATGAAAATGCAGTAAATATGCACAAAAGAATTGTTTCTAAAGCATGCCTCAATCCAAAGCAAAATGATGAAGTTGATTTACTGCATGTGCCCTTAATCCATTTTAACTATGAAGTAAAATGCTTTAATGAAAATTCTCTATCAATCTTGACTGTGCAATGTTGACTTGATAAGAGCCCTAAGTTCCATTTTGGGCAATCATCAATTGTATTTGTGAAGTACGACAGAAAATATACAAGGAAACACACTCATAAAAGTCCCAGCAAAGCAGGGCTCCTATCCTTGCTGATCCTTGCACTGTCATGGTAGAAATATTTACTCCTAATAATGAGAACATGAAAAGCAAAGGAGAAAGTACGCTAGGATGGTCAGAGTTAATGTTCCCTGAGTCAGCTGGATTCCTGTTTCCAGATCACCACCAGAAATACTGATGTGAACAGTTGGGAGAGGACTTCGCTGCACATCTCCCTAGTAACAAATGTTGCACATACACTATTATGGTTCTTACAATTTTCAGTGGTACACATGAGTAAACAAACACACTAAAGAATTTGTATCCAGGAAAGGAAAGGGACAACTGGAAATAAGAGAATTTGGCACACAAGGAACTACCTAAGCACTGAGGAAGAGATGCCTAGAATGCAGGAGTACAAGCAAATTTCTTTTAAAAAATATACCAACAAAAACCCCAACAAAACCAAACCTGTCCTGACACAGAGGCAGGTAGCAGTAAAATCTATCAATTTATAAGGCATTAGATAATTCCTAGATGCATCATAGTAAAAATAAAGCAAACTCATTCCTCTAAAAAAGTGCATGGAGTGAGATGGATTCTGTGTTTCTTCATAATGGATTACTCTGAAGAATAAAATACAGGTATCAAAACCCAATAATCAACTCAGGCTTTTAAGAGAAAGCTAACTACAGAAGTGCAGATCCAGGTAATGGTAGCTGATGGGTTTATGGTGAAATAAGAACTTTTTTTCAGAATACAAAGAAAATAAAGTTTAAAGTGAAAGAGAGAGAAACAAAGAATAAGATATAGAGAAGAATATGATTTCATAATGGGTGAGATACTGTGTTTCATTTAAAAAAAATTCTTAAGAATTAGAAAAGAGATACTTGGGCAACCAAACTAATGAAGAGCTTGTAAAAATAATCAGCAATAAAATGCAATAGGGAAATACTTTGGAAATATCAGATCATTAGCTCCAAGTGACCATGCTTGTCACTTAGATAAGGATATTAAGAAGCTGGCTAATGAATTTACCAGATTAATTTCAAATTATATTGGAAAAGATATTAAAAACACTGGGAATATACCATGAAAAAAATTAATTATGTTCTTCCAGCCTTCAAAACAGTAAATAAAACTTCAGCTCTTAGTAAAATAAGGGAGAGAACAGGAGAAAAAGCTCTGTTAAAAAGATCTAGAAAAAGAAAATAATCATAGTATGGGGTCTATGAAACACTGATTATAGCAACAACCCTGACTTTCTGAGATTGTGACAAACTGAGTCACTAGCACAAGTAGGGTAGCTCCTATATGAAATATTTAAAGTCTCAAAGGCAAAATTACCACAAAAGCTGTTAAGTACAAAAATAGTGGCTCACAAATGGTATCCTGAATAAGAGATAATGTATTGCACTGAAAACAAGTGTCTGGCAAGTTTAAAAACTTAGCTTGGTATTTATTTTGAGGTTAAATGCAAAAAAGATGCTATGTTAAAAGATATATTAAAATAAATGAAAGCAGAATATAATATTAAGCAACCTTGAGAGATTTAAAGAATGACCAGAGGCTAGTTGGGTGAAGCACAAGAATTCTATTTAGAAAGACACAAGTCATTGAGTAAAGGATTTGATGGAAGGGAAGAGAAGGAAAGAGGGAAGGAATAAGACAAGTGTGAGAGAAGATGCTCATTAAAATGATCATTTAATATCAATAGGCAGGAGAGACATTTTAGCACACTATCTGGATTTAGTATAACATCTAGACATTAAGATTCAATGTAGAGATGATGCAATGCATTCTGGAATAAAATCCAGGGAGACACACCATAAAGATATACTGGAAAACAATTAAGATTTCTAATAAATTATTTCCTGTACTCAAAAGGTTTAACCTTGCTAACACAGTGTAATTATCTCCGATGTTGTATAAATGGCTAAACCTCTGCCACTTAAAAAGTATTTACGGACTAAGACTATGACCTATACATGCTCTTAAGTCAAGGAATTTCACTTTGCTTATCCTTACCTGAAACCATAATAATACAAGCTGCAGTACCAGATACATCCCCTTCAAATTCACAAGTTCTTTGTGGCCCACCTGCCTCAGCTCCAAGAGAGCATTTTTCATACTATGCCTCTGCCTTTTTTCCCAAGAGGTATGCAACCTTCCAGAAGGGAAGACTGCGTCATATTCCTACTTTTGCCTAACCTTTGTCAGCAAGGACATGAGGTTAAAAGGAAACCTTTTCTTTCACAAAGACTTTCCCTCTACTGTTTTCCTTCCACTGGAGTCTTGGGCTTGAGCTAGTCTGTTATTTAAACCATCAATCACCAAAGGAAATTTTGATGTTTGCATCTGAATTTCTAGCAAGCGGGATTCTAGAGAATTTTGCAGAGATTCCTCCTCTATTTAAAAAAAAAAGCCAACATGATGCCCCATGCTTTGTTATATTTCTGCCATAAAGTGAATTAATTTTGGTAGGAAAAAAGTAAGTTTGTTATGTGGATGAGATTGAGATCTTAACTGTGAAATAGGGAAATCAGTTTTGTTGTTTGCTGCTTTATGAGATAGGAGAGATGGGAACGTGAAGTAGGAACAGAGTCTACTGAGAAGAACAAAAATGTTGACCTTAGAACACAGAAAAAAAGGAAACATGAAACAAGAACAAATCAGAGGCAAAGTTATGTCCCACTGCATTGTTGCCAGCAGGAAATGAATTTATAATTTCTTATGCTTCAATCAACTCAGGAAAGAATGCAAGGTTTTAAACAGGAAAGAGAAAATAGTGTTAGAGAGACTGGGAAACTAAGCAGGTCTTTAACAGTTTGAAACAAAACTCAAGGGAGAAATTTTAATGCTGATAGCCAGCTGTCACTAGAGATCGATTGGTCTTGGAAAAGGCCAGGAAAAATACCCTGCGAGAAATGGCTGACAGTCTTAAAGATATTCCTCCATACTAAACACAACGTATTACATTTTTCAAGCTTTTTCTGAAATATCATTTTCAGGAAGGAAAGCTGCACATTTCCAAGTGACCCTGATAACTGTTAAAAAACCCAAGTCTTTCCCAGCTTTAGTAGTGTGATGTTCAAGGATGTAAGTAGTTCAAATTTTTGAAGAATTTGTGTATTTACAGATATTATACTAAAATAATGCTACCTGTTTGACTTAAAGTAATACCATAAGAGATTTCTCAATTACTAGAGACAAATTTAGTCAATTTTCTATCAAACTGGCACAAGATTTTATCATTAGTATCTAGTAACAATTATAGCATCCTCTTACAATGCAAGTATAATTCTTATAATGTTAAGATAATTTAATGCCTGGGAGTTATTGTGGGTTAATGATCCTCAAAAATAAGAAGCCTTGACAGAATGAGAAAGTTTGGGTAATCCCTGAAAGACCTGAAGCTATTTTTAAGGTTTGCTTTCTCTCTCTTTTTTTTTTTTTCTTCTTTTTTTAACCCCCTTTTCTCTTTTCAGAGTTACTTTTTCTTTTTTTTAAATAAAATTTGTATGGAGCATTACCTTGTCCTGCACAACTGCACCTCACAGAAGATTCAGAGTTAATACTGTGTCTCCAATACATTTTCTCATTAAGGGGACTAATGAATCTTCTATTTAATCCTCAAATTAATAAGTAAAAAGGGCTTAGGAACTATAGCAAAATTCTTATAGCAGTTTATCAGTGACACTGAAACTAATCTGTGTGGGAAGAGTGAGTTTTTTCTTCTTTTGTTCAAAAGAAAGGCTGAATTATGTCAGAAGGCCTCGTGGCCTCCTCTTTTTTGGCAGAGACAGGGTGTCCATAACTCATGGCTTCTATGACAAAGTCTTAGAACCCACATAATATGAAGATATGTGGATAACAATTCAGAAATAGGCACATATGTAAGATGCTTGCCTTTGGAAAAAGATCTCTTTCCAGTTATTCTCCTCTTCTTGGCACTGGAAATCCTATCTTCCATTACGATAGCCAATGCTACCAGCAAAACCCAAAAACTATTGGCACAGTTTCAAAGATGTTTTGTTGTAACAATCCAGTTGCCATTTTTTGTTCATTGGAAGTTCAGTGTCCTCCTGCTCTTTCTTCAACACACTTCTCCCCTAGAAACTCCTCTTTGTTCATCTTTGCTTTTTAAAAACACATTAGTCTATGCAAAACCACAGTCTACAAGCAAAGAAGGAAATAGAGTATGAAGAAAGTGCTGTACAAAATAACAATTAGCTGGAAAATGATGAACCAGAGCAAGTCCATGATACTTGAATATTCCAGTTCAAAACACAGCAGGTGTCAAGAGTACAAGTCAAAATGCCAGTATATTCAACAAATCAAGTGTGGAAAAGTAATAACTATTACATTGTGTGAAACATACATTTAAAAAAGCCTTGTATTTTTTTCTTTACTGTTAATAGACAATTCATTCCACCCAGAGTGTCAGCTGTATCCAGTTAGTTATTACTTGATTAGTTCACATGAAAGTGGAGAAGGAAAACATTCACAGGAATCTTGATGAACAACACTATGGGATGATTCCTACCATGTTGCTCTGAGATTGTGTGGCCCCGTACATAGTAATGCCATTTGATGGTCCTGCTAATTGTGGGGTATCTGGTTGTATAAATCCTCTTCTGTCAATTAAGCTATGGAATAATCAAAATAAATAAAAAAGAGTTAGAGATATTTCTGATCAACAACTATGTCCGCTCTAGAAAAAGAAAGAGAAAAGATTTCTATCATACAACAGACCTTAATACCTCACCTATACCTTCAAATGTCCCCTTTTATTCAACTGAAGTACAAGACTGTTTCTACTCATCAGCGAGGTAATTGTTTCCTTGTAATACTACCCGCCACATAGTCATATGTACTATTACTTTTCTGGATTTTTATCATAGACAAACTATTTATAAGCTGACTAGCAGATACCACAAAACAAGAGTTTTAAATCACAGGTGTGAAAACAAATTACAAAACTCACTATTGCACTTTGAATCAGTATCTATTTTGATGGTTCTTTTGTTATCAGTTTCCACAGCTCAAAATTGAAGCTACTTAATCACAAAATTTAGAAAGAAAGAAAGAGGAAGTTTTGTTTAGACAGCTTATTTGCCAGATGTTTCATGACAGCTACCTAGCACTGCTCATAGCGCTCCAACATTCTTACCAAAGTAATGCACTCATAGGTGGAAATCAGAAATTTTAAGAAAAAGTTTTGTGGAGAAATTAATAAAAATAAGTAAAAAAACTATATAAGATTATTAAAAAAAATATTGAATGGAATCATCTGACCTAGCTAAAGATTTTGCTAAAATTTCACATACAATTTTACTCTCAATTTGAGAATGATAAACCGCACTTAGGTCCTGGTAGTTAATATTCATGAAAAGCTGAATGTACAGGCTGAATACTATATTCTACATGTGTATTAGCTCATATCACTTCCTACCAAAACACTTTTCAACTGTTTATGCTTCAATTCATTCACAGGTGTTGTCTGGGTTTTTTTAAAAAAAAAATATGTAGCTTTCAATTCTCATACCATGAGTTTTTAATTATAGGCCAAAATGGTGTGGGTTTGGGTTTTTGTTGCTGCTGTTGTTGTTTGGGGGGTTTTTTTGCCCTCTGACTTGAACAACATTACTTCCCATCTGGAAAACTACAAATTTTACCACAGGATATCAAATTTTAACTGGAGGGTTTATAGTTCCTGTTACTAAGAGAAAATGACAGGAATGCTTTACAACACCCAAGAGCTAAAGTCAGCACAGAACTGGTAATATTTGCTGATTTATTGGAACTCTAAATTTGCCAAGGGTCAAGATGGCTTACATTTTAAAAGATAAGAACAGGATGCATAGTGAAAATGAAGGCATTTCCCCTCTCAAAAGTCAAGAGACCGGTTTAACCTCTCCTTCTGAAGGTCTGCAGAACAGGTTTTTTACGTACATTCAAAACACTTAGAAATCCACCTGAGATTACATCCCTTCAAAAATCAGATGCTTTAAAATAGGTGTATGATTTACATATATCAGAACACTAGTTAGACCTATGCTGACAGCTATGGATCAAATTAAGATTTGAAAGTTACTGTTGAGGACATGTGAAATACATTCTGAATTTGTTAGCACAGGTTTAAAAGTGAGAAACACGATCTTTAACAGAAGTGAGAAAAGTTTGTCTTATTTACAAATCCTCTCTTAATCTGTGTTCCATCCTCAGAGGCACTTGAACATTTTGAATTTTAAGCTGTAATTACTGCTAAATCACTTTATCAGCATTTAAGGAAAAAATTAATATCTAGTGATTTTGGACACAGCTGAAATTAAAAGTAAAAAAAAAAAGCAAGGTTATAATTTACATTTCACAGTCAGTAAATTTTTAGTGTTCGTCACAAAATATCTCCCTGCAGAAACTCTAGATATACTTTGGCATCTAAATAAATTATGTTGCTATACGGAATTTAGGGGAAAAAAATGTACAAGCTCTGTTAAAACACAGGAGCCAATGCCCAATGGTCTATTGTGTGTTGCTACTTTTAGCAGTCTAAGAGGCTATTTCAAACACTGAGAAACATTACGTAGTCTTAAAGATTTCCATCTGGAGTCAAACAAAAGAATTTGAAACATGGCATTGAGTTTTTATGCCACATCCTCTCATGAAAAGTAAAATGTAGAATTAAAGGGTTGGCTTCAGGCACCATCTATATAGGCAGGAAGCAGAGACAGGGTTACTCCTTCTCACCACAGGGATTACCATTTTAACCCCGTACGTGGAAATCTTAATTCAGTTGTCTCCTCCCCAGGAAAAGATGTCAGTCTCTCCTGTTGACCTTTGCTCATAGAAGAACTGAGCCACCTCTGATATTTATAATACCAAAGACAGAAATCCCACTTCCAATGAAACACCTTAGCCACTGGACTATAAAGTCATTTACTTCCTTTCTTCTTGTTAGTTCAGATTCATAGCTACATAATTCCAGACAAAGCAAAATGGGTTCAACCGATGAGCATGCCACAAAATTAATCTACAAGATGTCAATTACTCTCTACAGAGGAACTGAGCCTCTATTGTACATGTAGTACAGGAACTATCTAACCACTGAGCATTGGAATAAGAAGAGAATGATGCCCTTCCTGCTGCCAGTTTTATTCTTCTAGTCTCAGCTCTGTCTTATATTTTGTTCAAGCTGAAATTATACAAGTATTTTGTATTTCAATAGCGAAAATGCATGCAACAAAAATTAATTCATTAAGCTTTCCCTGGAATTACTTTGGTGTAAGACCACCGAATTCAGCTTAATGTACATATGTTAACAGTAGTATATAAAGAAAAAAAAAATTGTAGAATTAAGGTTCCTAAAGTCTCCTAAATTCATGTCATGTCTGTTAGATGTGTAAGAATTTAATAAACTTTCAAATCACCCATCATGCAACAGGTAACTACTAGGAATTTTTTATTGCTGGAAGTTATTAACTGCAGTGGCAAAGGATCAAACAGGAGCTCATAGAATCACAGAATGGTTTCGGTTGGAAGGGACCTCAAAGACCATCTAGTTCCAACCCCCCTGCCATGGGCAGGGACACCCTCCACTAGACCAGGTTGCCCAAAGCCCCATCCAACCTGGCCTTGAACACTTCCAGGGATGGGGCGTCCACAGCTTCTCTGGGCAACCTGTTCCAGTGCCTCACCACCCTCACAGTGAAGAATTTCTTCCTTATATCCAATCTAAATCTACCCTCTTTCAGTTTAAAACCATTACCCCTTGTCCTGTCACTACATGCCCTTGTAAACAGTCCCTCTCCAGCTTTCAAAGCTTTCTAAAGCTTCAGATAAATAAGTCTCTTTTCATTTCAGATGTCAACCTTAAAAATATTTTTACAGGATCTGATCACTACCTTAGGTTAACCACAATTTACCATCTTATCTTTTTACTACCGAAGAAAAACTTAAAGCCTCTAATGGACAGTATAACAAAACTTTATTTCTGTGGAGTAAACTCAAGCAATCAGAAAAAAATATTTTTTTCATCAATAATCACGTGGTTTCATTTATACTAACAATACTCTTGATACTCTTACCTTGGAGAGAGAGGCCCACAAAGCGCAGCACAGCAATTAGTAAAGATGTTGCCATAACTGTATGGATTATAGTTCTCTTTACCTCTTTTATTTGACCATGATCCTTTAATCTGAAGAAATACGAACAAGATGCATCACATATAATAAAATACAGAAACTGGCTGAGACAAATTAAGGGTTACCAAAGCAGCAACATGCTACTTACATCAGAGGCAGACCAGAGAAAACCCATGATCACACTTTCCAAACAGCTTACAGCTTTGGGCTGTTATGAAAGGCTGGTCCCTATGATCTTACAAGCAAGTACATGCACTACCTCCATAGATTTAGACAACCCAAAGTCTCAAAGGTCCAATAGTCCTTCACAGTAGGAATTTCAGCATCTAAACATAATGGTCTAAGCTTAATTTTACAAATATTATGGTATGTGCTACAGAAGAGGGTTCAATTGCAACATACCATTAAAGCCAGCAATACAACACTACTTTTCCATACTCTTGGGTAAATTCTCATGCTGTGCAATACCACACATTATCTTTCCTAATGCCCACAAATGGCTCTAAAACATTGCAGCTGCAATCATTACTACCTTTTAGCCCATATCACATTTTCTTTTAGCTAGTCTTGCTTTTCTGTTTGTGAGCTACTTGAGAGCCTGAGCAAAATGTCTTACTCTATTCAACTGGAAATGTATGCTTTAAAGGAAATTACCGAACAGTTTACCTGAAATTCAAACATGTTACACTGCTGCAGTTCCCTGCTATCTGACTTTCAACAAGCCAAGGGAGAGTAATGGAAGCATGCTGGATCCATCTAGAGAGACAATGTTGGCCTAAACCTAATAACTGAGGAATACCAGAGTATCTCATCCATCTTACTAATGAGGTAGATTTCTTCAAAGTCAGGCTACCTGCCTGGATACTTGATGCTGAGGCATAATTAATTCTGAGCCTTCTTGGTAAGTTTTTTCTGGTTGATTGGTATTTATTGTAAAATGTATAATTTTAACCATGACCTTAAACAATGACAAAATATGTGTGTGACAGTCCCAAAGATATTACTTTTACATTTGCCAGATACCTATGAAAAAAGGTACAACAGAAAATTACAATAAAATAATTTTAAACTTGCAGTAATGTGTTCGATTACTTGCTAAATTCCAACAAGCTTTCTATATATTAGCTACCTAGCTATTTTAATTTTCTCTTTTCATTCATTTTGTATTTCTCTTTTTAGTTAGAGGAAGACACATGAAGCTCCCACACACAGTTAAACATAATGTCACACCAAAACAATTGAAACCTATGTGCAAAATAGGACAATTGTAGAAATGAGAAAGTTAACCTTTAAATTAATGATATACCCCTTGCCAGAGGTTTTAGACCTCAGACAGGCAAAGAAATTTCAAAGGAAAAATAAAATAAAGGAAATTTTTGTTTTAAGAATTCAACATACTTTGCAATTTTTATAGTAAACAATTTTTGAGTCAAAGAATATTTAGGATTCCCAGTGAAAAACAGATACTGAAAAATATTTAATAATTTCCTATTGTATAAAATATGCTTGTTTCTTTGTCTCCTGTCTTCTATATTTTCCTATTTCAAGATACGGATCCTGTGGGTGTAAATCATAATGGACACACTATGTAACCAGCACATCTTCAAAACACAAAAACAGTGTCCAAAAGATCCCTTCTGATATTTTGATTCAAGCATGACCAGGTTACTTCCTTCTTTCCTACTGAGGCATTCATAAAATTATGCAGGCAGGTATGACTTCACCAAGAATAACAGAGGAAAAAACACACACAATTAGAATTAATCACCTCCTCATTACTCTTTAGAAACATATATGTAGACATATGCTATGAACTTACATCTTCATTTGTTGTTTGATTGGAGCTGATCAAATATGTGTGAAAACCTGAGAGGCCAACAATGGACCATACTGAGAAAAAACACACCACAGCTTCCAGCACAGTAACTGAAAGTCAAGGAAATATATGCAAATGGAAAAAAAAATTAATAATATCCAATAACAAGTAGTTACAATTGCAAAATTCAGGGTAGTCAACTTATAGTCCACAAGTCTCTTCAGATCCTTGGGGTAATTCAAAGGGGTCAGCAAAAATTAAACTCAGAAAAGCAAGTCTATTGTCAGTAGGCTTTAGAGTACAGGCCACTGAATAGCATCCACAGCAGCCCATATTTGAGGGTCTGCAGACTGAAAAAGGCCAGAAACTACTGATGAGTGGTTCTGATCTTTGTTGCTGAAGCTCATATTTTCATATTCACCCTATAAAAGTGATCACACTTGTATTAAGCCAGGTAAAACTGATAAGTAACAGTAAATAACACTTCTGATGAGGTGAGGGGAAGATCAAACACAAGGCTAGCCAAATAGCAAAGACTGAACAGATATGTTTGTACAAATATTTAGTGAGGAGTGGGAGTCTTAAGCCAGGACTAAAGGTTCTAAATCTGTGCTCATATAGCAACAACTGACTAAACTGCATCTCAGTCATACGTTTTAACTGCTAGACTCTCCTGTCTTCCCTCTGTTACTGAAGTTGAGATGCTCATAGGAATCCTAAGACTAGCATCAAAGCGCATGAGACCACTTGCTCTCTCAAGTCCCTCTAATAGCTGGATATAGTCTACATTACAACTGTGGGGGTGCTTCAATGGCCCAGCCTTTGCCAATGGCCAAGATAACAACTGTTAAGCCTGGAGTGTAAATAGTTGGGGTGGGGTTGAATACTCAAAACTGAGCAGCATTTGCCCAAAACTTATTATGTTAAAGAGGAAGACTACCAACTCCCAACTCACCATGCTGCTATTAAACAGTAGCTGAGGAATTACAAGACGACTTTTTGTAGAAGACATCAGTTCAAAGTGTAAGAAAAATCACAAAAATTGGCAGAAGAGAACTTGAAGTGGGAACAGCAGCAGACAAAACTTGGTTTGGTACAGCCCCAAGTCACTGCTGGCATCTGCCTAGCCCAAACAGAGCACCCTCCTTGTCAAACACTGTTAGTAGCCTGCATCCAGACAGCAGACTGCTGGTATGGGGTGCAACATATAGGCACTTGCACCTGAGGTACATATATGTGAGCTCATGGGGTGCTTTCTCACCTGTGTGTTGCAGGCAGCAGCACAGGTACACATACAGCAAAAGCACTCACACCTCCAAGAGGGTAGCAAAGGTGTGTGCGCACCACAAACTTTTCTGGGGTTAGTCACAGAATGGTGCTTAGATATTTGTAGGTATTAACATTTCTTAAGTGTTTAATACAGCCATTTATCTTTTCTATTACTGATTCTGACCCTGAATACATAGTTATCCAGCAATCATCGATCTATATGTCATTAATGAATCAATAAACAGCTTCGATCCTGTTTCGAACTACATGAACTGAGTGGTGTTGCACTGCAAGACCAACCTTTATCTTTTCTAATTTCCCCCAACTGCAACAAAGTAGATGAAAAGCACTGAATTACATTCTGCACCATAGTACAAGAGTTAAAAAACAGACTGCACTATTAGATTGTCCATTATTTTTAAAGCTTGCATCTTTCACTCATTTTCTTTTTTTGCTTTCAAACTACCTGAGTTTTCACTCCTCATAAACTGCATAACCCAAATGACATAAAGTAACCAGACTTTAAAAAGTGAGATTGGTATACTAGGAAAGTCAGTCAGCACTCAGTGTTGCATACTTACTACAGTTTATATCATTCCTTTAACTCTAAAGGAGTCATCATCTCAGCAATAAGACAATTCTAATAATAAGTTAATTCTAAACTTTGTGTAATCAAGCATAAAGAGCAACTTTCTACAGAAGGCTTCCTGCCATACTGTTTTATTTTTTAATACATATATATTTATTTACACACAATAGCCATGAACTCAGAATACATCTGCTTCAAGACTGGTATTTTCTACAATCTTCAATAGTAATTTTTTCTTTTTTTTTAGGGAACATGAATCAATAGCAGAAAAGGCTTTGGTTCCTAGAAAAATAGATATAATAAATCAGGAGGAAGAAGACAATGGGAAAAGAATAGGATAAAAATAATCTGTATATTAACCATATGCCAACCTTCAGTGAAGTCAGTTTCCAAGACAATATTGAGACTTCAACTCAATATATGCCAGAACAAGGACACAGGCTTAAAACATACAAAAACATCTTAATGCTGAATCTATCAATAGGAGAGAAATATTACAGCTCCTCATCATTATACAGAGACAGAGGCTGGAAAATGCATGGATGGACATAAGTATTTGTGATAAATAATCCTATTAGTTAACAGCGAAGAGTCTTTTATTACAGGTCTGCTCTCACCTAACAAATTAGGAAATACCTGAATTGTCTGTATAACTTCCCCTAGAACCTACTTCACTCAGAGTGGTTTAAAAGCCAGAAGAGAGCCATTTGCATTCTGAGCAAATCTGCTCCAAAAACAGCAGGAGGACCAAAGTGCATTGCTGAGCAGCACGTTCACTACTCTCTCCCTCTCATCTCCTACTCAAACTATGTGGAGTCAATCCAACACAAGACAGGAACTCAGCCGACTGTGCAACAGCCACAGCTAAAGCAAGGAGAATGAGGGAGAATGGGTAAGAAAGCTGACTGTGTTAGCAGAGGGTTCAGAAAGGTATAAAAGAAGGCAACAGCCCAAAAACATTATGCACAATGAAAGTCCACCTAACTGGGCTTTGAGAGGGCGGAAATTGTAAGGAAGGCTGTAGATGACCACTGTTGGGTAGAATCTACACACCAAGACTAAGAGGAAGAATCACCAGGTCAGAAAAGGGGAACCTGAGAGGGAGAGGTGCTCCCTGCAACCTCATCAGATGACTGAGCACATCACTAACAAGATGTTTCTCGTCATGATCACACTCAAGAGAGTCCTGAAAAGTGAGTTTCTCCCTCCACATGGTAATTCCTACTGACAAAAAAGGGAATTCCTTTCAGTTCCCCACTAAAAGGGACTTCTTTCCCAAGACACTTCGTTCAGTTCCCTGCACCAACATCTAAAAAAACCTCTAGAACAGCAGAGGTGTTTTATGTTAGATTAACATGAGTCCATTAATTAAAAGCCAAACCCAAAAAGCAATATATTCTCAACATAAAGTATAACTTACTAGCATAATATGGTATAACACTCCCTTTGTATTTCACACAAGATTGTTAGCAGGCTAGAAATGGCAATGTTCTCTATGCCTGAATTGACTGGCTTGCTCCATACCAGCATTCCCACTACTATTTGGCCAATTTGATTTTTTTTATTGTTAGGAACTGTAACCAAGCTATTAAATTGTCCAACATATCACTATCAAACCAGACCATTTCTACAAGATGCGCTACTGAGTCTTTCAAAGCAGCACATCTCTGAATACAAATTATGAATAAGCAGTCCATTGTTCCTGTACAAGGATCCTCAAATGCATAATCAATTACCTTCTGATTTAAGGACAATTGAAAGCTATTCTCAATTTGAAAATAGTTTGAAAGAATCATCTTTTGTAAGAAGTGATTATAATTGTTTTAATTGGAAGCTATTGTTGTGCTATTTAGAACAGTTTGTGCTTTGTAAAATTATCTGTACAAAGAAAAAATCTGAACAGTGGCTTTATTTAAAAAGGGAGTTTACAGCTCAGTGACTCTACCTGATGAACACACACACACAGACACACACACAAATATCTTGGAGAATGTGACACTTGGAAAAACTACCTGGAAAGAGAGGTCTGTCTTTGTGCACAACTACAAATGACAGCAAGTTTTTTCTTCCTACTCTTCTGTGGAAAAGAACAAACTGTGTGAGGCACAGCAGACAAAAGACTTTTCCTCAGCAAAAGTATGGGAAAGAATCCTTTTTATAGTATCTTTGTGTGAGGTACAAACTGCTTATTCAGACACAAACTACTCAAAACATATACATAAGGAGTGGGAAGCTTACAGTCTGTAAAGAAATGTAAGGAAGAAACTAAACAGAAGATATGTCAGCTTCCATTTTTCCATTATGTTAGCTGCTTCAGACAAAGGGGCCTTTTCTGTTCTCACTTAGAAAAGAATATACAGAAAGCTCCTGTGAAGTAATAAAAAGAACATTAAGTACTTACAGAATAGAACCACCAAAAGGTTTGGGATGGAAGGGACCTTTTTAAAGACCATCTAGTTCCAACCCCCCTGCCATGGGCAGGGACACCCTCCACTAGACCAGGTTGCCCAAAGCCCCATCCAACCTGGCCCTAAACACTGCCAGGGATGGGGCATCCACAATTTCTCTGAGCAACTTCTTCCAGTGTCTCACCACCCTCATTGGCTTTCTTTGTTATAGCCAACCTAAATCTACCCTCTTTCAGTTCAAAACCATTGGCTCTTGTCCCGTCACTACAGGCCTTGGTAAAAAGTCTCTCTATGTCTTTCTTATGAGCCCCCTTTATATATCCAAAGACCACAATAAGGTCTCCCCAGAGCCTTCTCTTCTCCAGGCTGAACAACAATAGTAGTCCCTGTCTATGCATGAGTATACTTCTATTTAACTTAACAGAAGCTGATACTTGAAAATGACTTCTCTAAAAACCGTAAATCAACGTAAGAATACCTTCAGGAACTGAATTCTTCAGGGACAGCTTATGGTTTCAGCTGTTCCACAATCTACTGTTTCTATCCTGACAAGAACCAGCCATTTTGGCTACTTTCTGTTGTAAAAGCAGAATAATTATTGCATATTTTAAATCAAACTACAGCACGGGTATAGCATGAGATATATTCATGAATTCAGTCACAAATACATGGAGCATATTTCCAACACACATGGAAACTACAGACCTTTGTCAAAAGTACTACTCTGCAAAAGATGACAAATAGAAAACACCCCAGGCTATAGTCTCTCTCCTACCTCCAACATGTGGCGAGAAATCCTATTGTGCAGGAAGTGATGAAATCATTAACTGATAAAGTCCCAAATGCATGTATCCAACAATAGTAAGAAAAAAAAGCAAAACCACATCTCAGATGTTATTTTGCAACAAGATCTAGAATTTGTTTCAGTGAAAGGATATCTTGCAGGACTGTCCTTCAGGGCATTGAGGAATCCTGTTTGTTGAGAACCTGTAGAAATAGAACTCAAAATTACCAGCTGAGTAAGAAATTGGACTACAGGCTGTTTTCACTATAGTTAACACAATTAATATTTGAAGATCAACCTAATAATCATAGAACAGATTTACTAACATGAATCTGAGAATATGCTGCTCAGCAACAACACCAAAAAAACCTTGGGTAAGTTATCAGGTCTAACATCTGCAGGATATTTTCTCAGTCATACCAAATAGATGCACGCATACTTTCCCATGAACAAGATTTCTGATTATCCCTGTTCTTTTCAGGCCTAATATGGAAACAAAAAAATATGAGCTACTGTTGTATTTTGAAATACTATTTTTGAAAGCAACTTTTTGACTTGGAAAATCTATTCTTTAAACCCAGATTCTCAACTTTCCCTCCTTTGTTCTGGAAGCAGCCAAAGTTCTCTAGACTATAATCCTGCTCCTACTGCACCTGCACAGAAGGTTTTTCTAATAGGTGTTTGTTGCCTCTGGGCAAATAAGAAAATAACTACTAGCTGAAAAGAGCTCAGAGCAGCGTGATGCAATGAACTAGAGACGCAGAAGCTTCCACTTGGGTTACACAACCATGAGATATTAATCAAAAAGGGGAAAATGACAATTTGCTGATTGCAACAAGTGAATGAGTTTGTAGAAACTGACTCAATTTCACATAGCTATAGCACATAGTTTGCATTTTACTATATAACTTAAATTATTTAAATACATAAGGTTGAAAGTCTTTCCCACAGGAAAATTTTTCCCCTTCGCTAAATTCATCTGAAGATTTGTATGAAGAGAGAAGAATCTTGTCTTTAAAACAAAAAAGAAAAATATATACATGTGTGCATACACATATAGATTCTCTAGACCTGCCTGATCAATTTTACTGTTTGCCATTAAAAAGAGAAAACTACTTACCTTGTATTTCTGAGCCTTTTCAGACTCTCATAACTGGTTCTTAGCCTCAAGGCACAAGACTAATGGAACTCCCCCTACCTTCTTACTATTTTTAGGATCCTCAATGGCAATGGCAGCAGGTAGGTGTGATCTCAATTCCTTACTGCTGGTCACACTTTTCCAAGCAGTTCCCAATACATGAGAAGGGAAAGGTTGCTCACTGCAATAAACAGCTGAAATACTGATGCCTCAAACAGAGCTGAGTAACTGTGAAAACAGACACTGCTACTGAAAATGTGTTGAGCTTGGGGAGATGGAAGAAAATCTTGCAAGACAATACCTTTAAAGTATCTGATTTACAAATTCATTTTATAATCTTCAATAATATTACATGCCCATATTCTTAATCCTGGAAAGGGCAAACTTCCAATGAATGCCTCAGAAGGCCACAGAAAACAAAAAGTTAAGATGTATCTTATATCTCATCACCATCTAAGCCCACCAAAAAATTATAAAAATACCAGCTTGTAAGATGTATTTAAAAATAATACAAATTTCAAAAATTTGTCTAAATCAAGAGACATTTAAAAAACCAAAACAAAACCGGTTTCCTATGTAATCAACAAGGTCAGAGAAGAAAACTCCCTATTAGGATGAATGAAAAAGGAAATTTTTTTTTTATGTCAATGCCTACAAGTTGCTATAAATATCCCTCAGTCCCTTCCCAAAAAAATATTGTCAGAAGGCATTCAGTCTAACATATGACAACTAGAATAAAGTGTTGCTGAAGGTAATCCTCCTAGGATTGTCTTCAGAAAAGCTAAGAACAGGATTTGATTAAGGCAGCAGGACTTCCTCTAGAATCAAGAATTTTGCCAGGGCTTATGGAAATACATATGGATGACTTTGAAACACTGCAGGAAGATCACAGTCCCAGGATAAAAACTTAGACTCTATTCAGACATGTTAACACAAAGCGGTCTATGCCAAGTGCAAAGGTTCAGATTAAGTAACTGAGAATCCTGCTTACTGGTTAGCATCAGCTGAAGAACTGCAGGGCTGCAAAACAGAGCACACATAGTTGAGTGGGAACTACTAGAAAGGTAGATATGAGGACTTCTAAAGTATGGTAGGCACAGAGTGGAGTGATCGATATGATAAAAAACCTTATTTGTAAAGAACTTCTTTTTTTTTTTTTGACACAGTCAAGATTATAGTAGATAAATTTGAAAGCTGGGCTTGAAGCTCAAATGTGGCAAACAAACATCAAGGAACCAATCACAATTCGTACCTGCTCCCATTGCCTTTGAGGACCAACCAATCTTCAGAACTAAGGAGGTTTCTCCTGTCTCATCCAAGGTGGATAAGCCTCCATAGCAAGAACATTTTACAGCTGATATACTTAGACAATTCAGCATTTAAAACTTACATTATCTGTAACACCTACACAGTGCTAAAGTGCTTCTCAACCCCACAGAGACACAATTAATTTCTCTGATCTTTGTCTAATTCATACTTAGAATTAACTACGGACACTGTAAAGTTAAAATCCACTGGACACATCTATTTGACATACAGAACATGAAATATTGGCACAATATTGGTAATTCATATGTTGAAAACTAAAGAAAAAAAGCACTGTGGTCTTTGTGAAATAAAGGTAGGCTAGCTTAAAAAGTAGCTTTACAATGTCAGACTGGTAATGTTCTCAACTACTGACTTCTAGCAAAGTAAGATGACAGAAAAAAAACTCCCGTGCTTTCTTCTTAAATGTAAAAGGTTTGTTGTATAAAATCATGTATGCCCAAATAAATGTCAAGTATTAATGGAAAATGTTCTCTTTCCAATAATTACTTTTCCCTTTTTAAACAATATGTACATCTTTGCTCTTTCAACTGGTATTAGAAATGCTGTATCTGGCAGTGAGAACAACTTGTTGATGCAGACTTCTTCAAAATTAAGCGCCCCTAGTTCTAGTCTATGTGCTAGATTTCTGAGCTATAGGAGAGCCACTCAGTGCTCTCATCCTTCTTTTGTGAAGCACAAATAAGAGCAGGAGTTCTGCTTTGTAAAATAAAAATTTTCCCTGCACAGTGTAAGCAATTTAGGAAATTGAGTACAATTTGGCATATTTTTCAGTAAAACAGTCTCTAAATGTTGCCATTATCAAGTTAGCTTTATAGATGTGTTAGAAACTGAAATTATTACTTTTATCAGGTTTCCACTGTAATACAGAATACAAAGAAAGAAAAAAATTACACTTCCAAAATGATTAGAGGAATACTGTTCAAGGCAATATCCTATGTAATTAGTGAAAAGATAGAACACTCTTAAGCTTCGTAGTGATAGTGGGTTAAAAACCCCCACAACTTACAAAAGATCTTTAAAGACAAGTTGAATAACCTTTCACCATAAATTAGATCATCATCATCATCTAGGATCTAGCAAAATTTGTTAGGTATGTGAAAAAAGGACAGTACCCAAAAGTCTTGAAAATACCCTACTCAAACCCAATCCAGTATACAAATAAAAATCAAAGTCATGAATATTCATCTTCCTATAGCTTATCTGATTCACTCCATTATGAATTGGTCATTCTCAGTATGTCTATGCAAATGAAGTAACTTGTGTTAAAAATAGGGTAGAAAAAGATGTAAAACTGAACAGCAAGCAACAAGAAGCATAAAATAACTCCAATCTATTTCCTAATAATTTACCTGTTTTTTTGGATAGCAAGTGACTCATGCTTACAGTTAAAAAACTCACAAAAGTTCTTTGGGAAAATGGTACTATCTGTATACTTAGACATACAGTATGTGCGCTGCTTTTCCAATAAATCATCCATAAAAGGACAAAAAAATTAAGAAAGTTAACACTGTATTAAGATAAAGCCGGCGCTAGATCAGTGACTACCATGACCAGGGTCTACTAAAGACCAGAATGGGACTCACTGGGGACTGTGAAGCTTCAGAGAAAAGGCAAATAAATAAATAAATAAATAAACCCTGAATGATCAAAAGATTAACTTAAAAATAAAAAACTCAAGCAAATGGCTACATACGTAATCTGATTTCACCAGCATACTTACGAAGGATGACGTGGGTGATAACGAATGCAAATATAAAGACTGTCAGAAAGGACAGAGATAAAATAAACATATAAAAAAATCTGTAGTTTCTTTTCCCCACACAGTTGCCTACCCAGGGACAGTGGTGATCAAACCGTTCTGTAATGAGAGGCAGAAGAAAAAAAAATGGAAAACAATTAATAAAATGCTGTTTATTTGAAAAAAGCTCTCTGAATACTATATTAAAAGTCATGAGTTAACTGGCATTTGCAAATTAGCCGCAGAGAAATTCTTACTTAGAAAGGAAAAAAATAGAAAAGAAAAAAAAGAAGTATTTTAATGAAACCTTACAGCTTTTAAAGAAATCAAAACATGGCTGAGGTGAGGTCCTGTTAAACTAACAGCATTATTGTTGCTGTTAATATACTGTGATAAATTGTGCAGTCAGACCAAAATGCATGTATTTATCCACTGTCACATGGAGCAGTACCAACTCAATTGTATTTTGGTTTTTTTAAAAGTAAAGGGGTTTTTCTTCCAGTGACTTTTCTACTAAAATTTGGAGGTTTTGATATTTTATTTATATCTGACATGATTACACCTCTGACTTATGTCTACTATCATCTTAACCATCCATTATGGTATATGAAATATTTACACCCTCCCACTTCCTTTTATTGCTTCACTCAAAATAATCTCCATTCCAGACCACCTATTTTCCATTTAGAGTTGACACTGTCATACAGAACCATTAAAAATAGCAAAGTCATTCACATAAACCTTTTTTCAAGTGTTAAAATTCAGACAGCCTTGTAAAATTCGCTCATACTTCTTTTGGTTTTGGGGTCATTGTTTTTTTTTAAATAATTTACTCAATCTTGCAGGAATTTTCTGTAAACCACACAGTAAAAAAATTGGTAGATGTCATCTGAATGCTCTGTTACCCTTTGCACTATAGGCTCCCTCTTCTTTTCACTAAACCAAACCCTTTCCCTTTATTTCCCTGAGAGATGAACTCATTCGTGAGACAGGAAAAGGCCAGGGTGGGTCTGAAACGAGTGTCCCCAACACAGAGAGACATGCCCAGCACTGGAAAGCAGCAGAGTTCACTCACTCTGCTTCTCCCCAGGCAGCCTGGACCACCCCCCGTCCCAGTATGCCACGTAATGGAAACAGAGAGATTGTCAGGAAACAAACTGGCATCTCCTATCTTTGCTTTGGAGAAATTACACAGACAGAATTTTAATTTTTTTTAATCGAATCCAAGATCATTACAGAAGACAGATGCTCTCAAGCTGACTCTCTATATCTCTCTGATCCTTGTCCAAATCCCATTTTATTTTATGTGACTTCTATGCCTCCATTGATGTACAATATCAAACTATTTGTAATTTCACAGGAAAGGCAAACTATAAATTTGAAGGCACATCTGCCCAAGCTCACCAGTTTATTTTAGCTAACAGCTTTATGTTAAAGACCTACATAAGAGGTTTTCCTTGAAGGATGTATATAGTAATATCTTAATTTTAAAAAAAAAAAAAAAAGTCAGAACAACATGCACAACAGATTTCTGAGTTCACCAGACTTTCAGGGTTTTTTAAAAATGGTTTTGCGTGACAGCTATTTGGACCACATGTGTCTACCATAAATCTGTTTCAAATTCCAAGGAGGCTATTCAAGGTGAATTTACTGAACCTTCTCAGGATAAGGCTTCAGAAATACTTTGATTTTATGAGTACTGCTAAGAATACCAAGAACCAAACAACCTGGTATCTAAAAGGGTAGGTGATACTACCTTTATTCAGTGCAACACAGTGGTATTCCCAAAATAAGTTGACATTGCATTTGTAAAGTGCTTATTTTTACGTTTGTGCTTCTGAATGAGTCCTTATGTTCTGATAAACACTTTAGTTCATTTAGTGGGTACCTCATATAACACATGGACAAATAATAACACAAAGAAAACTACAGTTACAGAGCCTTTTGTAGAGCATAATCTTAGGGTACTTTTGTATCCAACTGCTTCAGAAAAAAATAAAATCATGACATGTCTTTGGAAGATGAATTCCGTATATACACATTCATTCTTTTCTATACTGACATGGTAGGAATCAACAAATTATATTGACATAAAGCTCAGTTTCTAGCCATGAAACAATAGATACATGTAGACATCTATTTGATAGATTCAGATAAATGCAAACACCCCCCCCATCTATAAACACACATACATATACACACATACACACATGTATATTCCTTACTAAAGGCTGACTTGATATTTTTAACCTACTTGTCACTCTTCTCCAGTTTCTGTATTCAAACTTTCTCAGTAAACTGAAAGGCTCCACCTTCTCAATAAATACCTTGCCAATTATTGGGAACCCAAGATGTTTGTGAAGCAGAAATGGAGAGAAAAGGCTGGATATGAAAAGCACTGCTACAGCATTAAATCTGAATCAACTCTAATGAAAAAGGAGTATTAAAGGGTTTACATGAGTGTTATGAATGAATAAACTGGGCCTCATTTTTCTCAGTCATAAAATAGAAAGGGATGTGACATTTATGCTATATGCCACAAAATGATATATTAAAAAGCAAGCGATTATTCCACTCAGCAGAGCACAAATATGCAAGTTAAAGATAATAGCCTTACAGCTTGTGAGCTGCTCTGCATAGTTGTTAATGCAAGAGAAAACAGCCAACACTGGCAAAAATGAAGACACATACTAAGCAGAAACTTCTAATGCTATTAATATAAACTCTCTTAAATCTAGAGCTATTTCTTCTTCTTTACAAAAAGACATGGCTTAATAAGTAAGATTAAGCAAGAAAGAACACAGTATCTTCAGGTTCACCTCTGGCACTCCAGATGCCTGCAAACTAAACAACCAACTGACATCTCTACTTGGCTTGGACAATGTTAGCAGCAAAATTAAGACTTACCTTCACTTAGAAATGAAAAACTACTGATGCTGAGAAAAATTGGAAATTCTGGCCCTCATATACTTAAAATGCAGAGCAAATATAAATGCAGTTGATGGTTATGAAGAATAACAGCCTGTTTAGAGGTGATGACTGCAGTTCTGGTTTAACTTTCTAGGGTATAGTTAAGGTGCTCCTGTATTTGGATCATACATTTGTCACAAGGTTAATGTAAAAATATTTGAGGCAAATGAAGAGAATCAAAACACTGGTAATACAAAATCTTGTTAATAAGAAGTACATTGGAACTCTTAAAGAGGGAGAAAGAAAGCTGCAAGGGCTGAAAAGTTTGTCTATGGAAACATACCATGGATAGAGAAGTTGTGACAGATCATCCTCCTGCACTCAATTTTAAGCAAAAGCAGCAAGGTATTTGCCTTCAGGATGTGGCATGACATTACAGCCATATCTGCCTAATTGAGAACTACTGCTAAAACAGATGGCCCAGCTTCTCCCCTTTTAGCAGTCCTGTGAACAATCTCTTGCCTGTGTGTTTATGGCTCTCTGTCCTTAGACCAAGCCTGCTGTTCATTCACCCTTTGGGGAGCTGGTTGACAGAGCCAGATGAACTTAAAACTATGGTTAATTTTATGTTGCCTAGCTCATCACAGTATTAGACAAACACCAAACCTGGCCTAAGTGAAGTAGTGAAAACACACTGCTGGAGAAGGGATGAAATAACCCTTTCAGAGGCAGCTAAGTGTTAATTCAGCTTAGCTGTAATGTCAACCTTACTACAGGTTAACACGTATCAGGACAGCAGGTGAAATCTAGTTTTGATTCATTTTTCAGGGTGTGAGAACAAAAGCTGAAGCAAACAAAAAAGACTGAGGAAATGAGTGAATATTTTATAAGGTGAAGTATCAATGAAAAGAAGAAATGGATAAATGGAGGCTAAAAATGCTGCTGTAAAGACCACAGAAAACCAAAGAGGTAAGAAACCTCAAGAACTGTCAGTAAACCTACAACAGTGACTTTATTTTATTAGTCTTTCCCAAGTGATCAGACTCTTCGAATTTGGATAGTAAGTTCTCAGGACTGCCAGCACCCCAATAACCAAATTGAAAGGGTGAGGCTTCACAAGGTACCTGAGCCAATCTAAAACCTTAGTAGCAGTGAAAAAGATGGTCACTCAGAGATGCTGCCTTTCCTGCCACTTCATCCCGCTTGCTTCTTTCATTACTTAAGCTGCTGATGAGTCAGGTCAGTCCCTGAACTGGCAGGAAAGAAAAAATGGAATTATTTTGTTCATTGCTTAGTGAGCAAAAATGACTTAACATTGGCTAAGGGCTGTGCGAACAGGCACAAAGGAGAGAATCATGCAAGTTGTGGGGGGTGAGAGGATAAAGTTCAGATACTGTCCCTTTGGAAGCAGCAAGCTGTCAGCATAACTCATTGGTCTCATTAACACTCACCTAATAATATATGCTGATCAGATGACAGAACATACAAGTTACATCATACTTTAGACACGTCTCGGTTTTTACCTTCCTTGAAACATTTATATTTGAAAACTTGCTTAAGAAACATTAACTGCTGGATACCTCAGATAAAAACAAAACTGAGAACACTTCCCATTTTAATAAGCAATGGTCGTATAGATGGAGAGTGTTTCCTTCAGAAGCCATGGCAAAGCATGTTCCTTGCTGCTCAGAACCAAAGAGTCAAATCTCTACTTTTCCACAGCACAGCATGTAGACTCTTAAACCCTTAAATGTTCAGCTTCCGCTTTTCAATCACTACACTCCAGGAAACCACATACAAAGTGACCCCAATGCTTTCCTTCCTCTTTCAAAACATTTAATAAAAGCTTTACAATTTACAAGGAACAAAAAAGCATTTTTACATGGAACATTTTGTAGGCCAGCTTGCCCTTTCAGTTTACAGCTTTTCTTGTCTGTTCGCACTGTGCTCTCAGACATGTTTATTATTATTTATGAACTGCTTCCTTCTTCCTTTGCTCAACTGGATCACTGCACGCCAACATACATTTTCTAAAGCTTAATGTGAAGGCAGGTCTCAAAGGCAAAAAGTCTGCAGGTGCAAAAATATCTAGGTCACATTACTAGGAGATTCCAACAAGCACAAGTTAGAATTCACTTGCTAATTCTTCCATCCCATTCAAGTAAAGTATTGTAAGGCAAAGACACAAACCTAAGGCATTCACCCAACGT